ACAAACAATCTATCGGAAACAATGTGTATTCCACAGTTCCGAAACTTCCGGCAAAAGGATTCCCGCCGGTACACACGAATATTGCTTCGACTTTGATCTTCCAGGTCACCTACCTCCCTCATTCAAAAGAGTACGTGGAAAAATCGAATATGCCTGCTACGCAATTCTCTCGAGACCCATATTTCATAATGACCTCACCGTTAAAAAAGTCGTATCACTCAATCGATGTTTAATCGATTCCATATCGCCACTAAGACAATTAAATTCCACCGGGAGTATATTCGATAATAAAGTCGACTATAATGTCACTACACCCATAATATCGTTTCGCGAAGGTGGGCTTGTCACCGCTGAAATAACATTAAAAACTTTGGACCCTCATATAGTCGTCAAATCCATTGAATATGGACTGAAAGAAGAAATCAATTATCGCACCACCGGTGAGCACGTGACGTCATTAGTGGCGAGCATTGATGAGAATGTATTTCCCCTAGGCAAAAAGAAGATTTTATTAGACCAATTCTCTCACACCTCCGATTCCGTCAAGATTAGTTTTCACCTGTGCCCTTGGGTAAACTGTGATGTGAATTCAGAATTGATTTACATTGAACACAAGATAGTGTTGTCAATTGAAGTCACTGAAAAGGTTCCCGTAGGCGTGGAAAACTTATTCGATGTCAATGATGACGACGATCCTCAGCTTGATGAACCGCGCGCCCGCCGTAGAAGTATTCTGAATAATTTTTCATCGCCACATATCAATAACCTTTCTCTTCCATCAACATCCGACGAAGATGACAGTAACAGGCTTAGACATCGTTCACTTTCTTTATCTCCGCTGAATAATGACATAACATCGATGAGAGGCAGCGGGAATAATAGAAATCGATCGAATCGAGCCCTCTCTTTGATGCCCCTGAGACGTAACGACAATGAAGAATTTGCAACATCGGAAACGAATAATCGACGTCCCCTCTCCTTATTGCCATCAAATTTCAGGAACTTTTCACTCACCAATAGTCTACCAA